AGTAGCTTACCTTTTTCCTTATTGAATTGGCGGTCTAGATTAGTCTATAAGTCGGTTCTCGTCCCACTCGCGTTCAGCAATGCTGATGAAATCATACATTAGATACGAGCATATTGTCCATTAACGTATATGTGCAGGAGCTACAATAACTTGCATTATATTGATATATTTTTTCTATCGCTTTCTCAGTTCAAAAGATCAATTAATAATGCTATTCCCAACTGTATTTACAAATGAATAAATAGATAAATATTATTATCTTATACGCAAGGATATCGTGGCGCCTTCATCCCGCTCCCATCTCTATTTCAATGGCACTCCATAGTATAATTTTTAACCCTGCTACAACTTGATAGTTATTTATACACCAAGGTAGTGAACAATATCAGTGTCACCCAGGGACCAAGATTATACAGTGTGTCCACCTTAAGGACTTACCACCCCTGTAAAATTGTTATTATCTGACCGATTTCAAAAAACTTTTTTTTGTTGGATAGGTATTTGAAATGTCCATCCAACAAGAGAGTGATTTTACTCATGAACTGTAATCGTGGCCAACTGCGACCAACTTTATTGACCCATATTTGAGAAAGTACTATTAGGGATTTTTTTTCACAAAAAACAATGATGGATTCTGAATCACGATCACTTGAAGAACACCTTCACTGATTTTTATCATCATAAAACACAGGGTGTCCGAAAAAACGAATTACGTTTTTTTTTTAATAGGTGATCAGAAAATGTAGTATTGTGGTATTTTTGAAAAGAATTGATGACACATTATTATTGAGGATCACTTTGAACATATCTGTACCGATTTTCATCATTCAAAAATACGATGTGTATAAGAAAACAATTAAAAAGAAAAAGTAGGCAATATTTTTTCATCAACTCAAAAAAAATATTAATTCGATTTTTCGAACACCCTGTGTTTAATGATGATGAAAATCGGTACAGGTATGTTCCAAGTGATCCTGATTCATCTTTTTATTTTGAGTGAAGAATTATCAGGATGAAAAATATTGCTTACCTATCCTTTTTAATTTTTTTCTCAGACACATTGTATATTCAAATGACGAAAATTGGTACAGGTATATTTGAAATAATCCTCAATGATAATTTGTGATTATTTCTTTCTAGAAAAACCACAGAACTACATTTGCTGACCACCTATTTGAAGAAAATGATCATTCGTTTTTTCGGACACCCTGTGTTTTATGATGATGAAAATCGGTACAGGTGTATTTCAAGTGGTACTGATTCAGAATCCTTTATCAAGTTTCCTGGAAAAAAATCCCTAATAGTACTTTCTGGAATATGGGTCATTGAAATTTGTCGCAGTTGGTCACGATAACAGTCCAACAATTAGATCACTCTCTCGTTGGATGGGCATTTCAAATACCTATCCAACAAAAAAAAGTTTTTGGAAATTGGTCGGATAATAACGATTTTACAGGGGTGGTAAGTCCTTAAGGTGGACACACTGTATATCGGGGCTCCTCCAGCCGAGGGGTATAAGGTCCCGTTGTAATAATATTCTTTACTACCAAGGTGTATATTACATTTTTTATGCACGACCGGGCGTAAAGTAGCACTTTACCGCCCGGGTTTGCGGGCGTAAAGTGGCACTTTACCGCCCGCGGACTACTTTACCGCCCGGCGGGCGATAAAGTCATTGAGCTGGTGGTAAAGCTAATGTCACTGTCATATCGATAGAAATCTAGATTCCAATGGTTTCAATCAATGCAAAATGATTGGGAAAATACATCTGAATTATACAGAAGTGCTCATTTGAATATTAAAGTTTTCTTTATATTTCTGTAATGCAAAATTATATGATCAAACCCAAAACTTTATTAACAATAATAAAACGTATCAATTAACATAAATAACGAGTTATAACTTAATATTTATAATACAATCAGAACAAATATTTATGGATATATTTGGATTTGTTGTCTTCTGTATGATTACACAAATTGACAGTTAATATGGCTACTGGCCTATTAATTCCTATTTCGAAAAATTGACTGAGTTGCCATGGTAACGTTGATTCCATACTTCTGATTAATTGTATTTGCGATATGGATACAATACAGTCTCACTGCAACCGTGATGTATTTTTATTGTGCTTGAGGGGTGAAGAGATACCTACATGAGATATCAAATATATACAGGTCGTGCATAAAATGTTGTATGTATTTCGGGCGTAACTAGCTTTTATGGACCTAGGCGTGTTAATAGCCCTCGCTATCGCTCGGTCTATTACTTACACGCTGCGGTCCATAAAAGCCTATTTTACGCCCTTGATACATAAGTAACTATTACACCACTAACATTTTAATCATTATAGTTCTGTTGAACTGAAATAAGGACGTATTGTCACTGTGAAGTCACTTCTCTTCAATTCTAATTAAAATCTAGTAGTCACGACCATGAAAGCATATGACAAGTCGTTATTGATGTTTATTGACTAGTGGTTCATAAAATGACAAAAACTACCTTGGTAGTAAAAACACACTTTATGCCTCGAAAAGGAGTAAATAATGGTAGGTTTTATAGCTGGTGGTGGAAAAAGTACTTTATTACTCACTCATTCAGTAGCAGCTTAGTTATGGTATAATAGGGTGGGGAAGTGAAATAAAACTCACCTGAAAAATCTCGAAGTTCTACAGAAGTGGCTATTTGAAATTATATTCAATAAATAATAATAAAGTGAACAACTATACCACGAATCTACTAATTCACTAATTCAAAGATACAAGAGAAATCCAATCATTATTGGAAATATTATCTCATTGATTTGTATTTTCACATAACTGGCATTACTTACATTCTCTAATGTCAAACTGTTCAATCTCTATATTTCATATATCAAGAACTGAGTTCTTTTAGGAGTTAGATTAGAGCAATAAATGATATATACTAAGAACTAAACCTACAAGTACGTCGTACTTTTGGTTCACATACAGAGAAATGCATAAGAAACGGCCAAGTCTGTAACTTTTGAATTATTCGAGATAGGATTCTGAAAATTGCTGGGTAGTAAGTATACCAAATTGCTAATCAATTGATGGAACAATTTTCCTTCTTTCACTTCCAGTTTCACCGGAAACGACACCAACTTTTGATTTTCGAATGTATTGTATTCCATAATCGGTTAGGGATTATGATGACGAATTCAACGATACCAGATTTTGATAGGGTTATTTCAAACTATTACAAAGATATTTGCGTTCGAAGTTTCCATAAGCTCAATGGATGTGACTTCGCAATATCAAAACTTCTTTCTCTGTCACACTCATTGAGCTTATGGAAACTTCGAACGTGAATATCTGCGTAGTCATTCGAAATAACCCTATCAAACCCGGTAGTGGTGAATTTGTTATGACAATCCCTAACCGATTATGGAATACAATACAGTGTGTCCCATTTAAAAATCAAAAATTGTGGTCGTTTCCAGTAAAACCGGAAGTGATAGAACAACAATTGTTTCATCAATGCATGAGCAATTTGGTATACTAGCTGCATACCAATTTTCAATACCCTATCTCGAATAATTTGAAAGTTACAGTCCTGGCCGTTTTTTGTGCACTTCTCTGTATAGTTCATTCACGAACTGACAAATCTTAATGTTGATAATATAAAATTCTGTGTATCATGTGTGAACTAAACTATTTTTTATTATTATTATCATTTTATGGCTAATACATGATTGAAAAGGAATATTCTCAGATAAATTATGAACATACAAAAATGGATATATATTTATATAAAGCAATACATTGAGAATTCGCATTCGAACATTGAATTATATCTATTGAACACACGATAAGAGTTTGAAAATAAAATATAAAAACTTCTGAAATTGAGAATTTGCATTCTCCTTCAGACAAAAATATGTATATGCACACATCATTCTGAATATTCAACAGAAAACAACTACTTTCCTGGCTATTTCCCTCGTCGAACATTGAATTATATCTGATGAACATTCAAAAGGAGAACATGAAAAATAAAGAATAAAATCCTCCGAAATTGAGAATTGACATTCTTCTTCAAATCGGATGAATAATATGATGTATAATGATATAGAAATATAACTTACCAATATATTCAGCATTGAATAAGTGGACACCATGGGGACTGATGAGGATTCAGAAATCCGAAATGGTTTCATTGCAATAAAGTCATATAACCTGTGTGTGAGAGATAATATTTCCCATATCACTGATATGAATGATTATTTTTTAAGCTCATCAAGATCAGAGTTTATGCCAGAATACTTCTCCTATACATTCCAATTTTCATTTCAATGCTGAATATATTGGTAAGTTATATTTCTATATCATTATACATCATATTATTCATCCGATTTGAAGAAGAATGTCAATTTTCAATTTCGGAGGATTTTATTCTTTATTTTTCATGTTCTCCTTTTGAATGTTCATCAGATATAATTAAATGTTCGACGAGGCAAATAGCCAGGAAAGTAGTTGTTTTCTGTTGAATATTCAGAATGATGTGTGCATATACATATTTTTGTCTGAAGGAGAATGCAAATTTTCAATTTCAGAAGTTTTAATATTTTATTTTCAAACTCTTATCGTGTGTGTTCAATAGATATAATTCAATGTTCGTCGTGGCATATAGCCAGGAAAGTAGTTGTTTTCTATTGAATCAACTGAGAAAGAGTAAATATTCTCATCACATAGAGAATGCGAATTCTCAATGTATTGCTTTATATAAATATATATCCATTTTTGTATGTTCATAATTTATCTGAGAATATTCCTTTTCAACACTTTCATACCCAATCAGGGGGTTCAAACTTGAACGATGGAAACTTGTGATTTTTATAGACCTCTAATCGCAGATTCGTGATAGAGTCTCAATTCAGAATTTCTTTCCACGCCCTGTATGATGAATGTCAATTTATCATACACCCAAAAGCTAATACATGATTGTTGCATAAACTACTATTTTGCATTTTATTCCAGCATGCCTGGTTGGTGGAAATGTCGGAAGGTTTGCCAAGCAAGGAAGGCACCAACGTAGAAGAAAACGAAGCCAGCGGCGACGAATACAAATCAGTGAACCCACCTACCAAAAACCAAAAGAAAACCTTGAAGCAGAGGAGGAAGCAAAAAGAGCAACTCGACCTGGCAAAAGCCAGGAGGACCTTGAAGGTAGAAAAAAAGAAAATCACAGATATCCACCAATTGAAAGTCCTGGCGAGGCAAGTTTCGAAGATCGAGCGGCAACAATCCATCATCAGGGACATGCGCGCCAAGGTCAAGGAATTGAAGAAAAACGAGCCGAAAGTCTTGGGCTCCATGAAGTACGAGGAGCCCGACTTGGAGTTCAACATGATGCAAGACATCGCCGGTAATCTGAAGGACCTGAAGACGGAGGGCAGTTTGCTGGCCGACAGGTTCAAGAGCATGCAGGTATTCATTTATCTATTTATTTATTTATTCATTTCGTATTTTGGCTGCCCAACAGATAGCACATTCTATCCTATTACAGGGCCGCCCTCAGTAACAAAAATATAATACTCTTAAATCGAAAGTCTATACTACAACTATAACTACTTGGCTAAAATAGTGAGATGATGTAACATTTTAATTTAATGAATTTGAGGAATATGATTTTTCACCAATTTGAGCAGAAAATATAGAATTTTACAATCGGTTTAAACGAACTGAGATTCTGACAAAAACGTCTATATCCTGACTACTCCTCACAAGATTATTGTATGTGAGACAACAAGTTTGATCTATACCTATCTATTGAAAAAATATTTTTATTGCAAAGACCAAAATGGTTACAATTGAACTCAAAATACTGAAGACAATATTCAGAGTCGACCATATTATTGACCAGTTTTTAAACGAAAATAACATCAAAAAATAATCTCCTTTCTTCTAAGGAGTTGAGATTATAAAAATTTCGTTGCACTCTTTCAATACATGAAGTGTTTTTAATATAAAATGGATTCCAGACAATCGTGGAAAACTCCAATATTGGTCTAACAAATGCATTATACAATGTTAAAATAATTGACAAATGAAAGTTTTTGCTCACTCTCATTATAAATCCAAAATTCTTCATTGCTTTATGGACAATAACATCAATTTGATTTTCGAATGACAGTTTCACATCTAATATAATTCCTAGGTCTTTAACATTTTCCGATGATTTAATACAAGTGTTATTCAACAGTATTTCTTTATAAAGAGGAGTGATAGAGCGGGAAAGATTAATCATGCATTTGTCAGGATTGACGAGCAACATACATAACTCTGAAAAAGCAGTGATATCATCCTGCAGTAACTCATAGTCACGGTCACACTTGATATCTTTGTATATCTTCCTATGCCATTCAAGAAGATGCTGAATAATAAGGGACCCAAATGTGATCCCTGAGGCACCCCAGAGGTGACATCTTTATTTGTAGAGTTGACATTGTTTATAGCCACATATTGAGTTCTTTCAGATATGTAGGCTGAGACCAGTTTCAATAGTGCCCTGTGCACACCGAAGTTTTCGAGCCTTACGATGAAAGTTGGGTGATGAACTCTATCGAAGGCCTTAGAAAAATCGGTGTACACAGAGCACACTGATGACCCCTTCCCGAAATCTTCTAATATATCTTGAATACAAGGTTTGTTGTTACCGAGAGTTTTTTGAGGAAACCATGTTGATGAATATCAATATGATTTTTTACGAGAAAAAATAGTTCTTGTTAATTAATTAATCATTATTGAAACAAGAACCTCACTCCATCTTTTCGATAAAATAGTCATGACTTTACTAGCCGTTGTCAGTTTTATTCAACGGATGAGGTCCTTGACTATACATTTTATAATTGTTGCGTTTTATTGGCATTGCTAGTGTCACCAGTGGGACAGAATGGTCGTTTTATTTACTATTCTGTGGAATTTCCTATCATCCTGTTGGCACTGGCCATTTGGTCTCAGAACATCGAATGCGTGGTGAAATGTTTGGAATGTTTGACAAATAAGGGTATTTGACATAATAATTTAGTTGTAATCAAAAACTTTGTTGAATAAAAATCGTAGATATGGAATAAGGAATAGGTAGGTAGCTACTGATGGAGAAGATGAGCCAACAAAAGAGAACAAATGTGCATATAACTCATGGAAATATTTAGGAGTCACTCTGAAATGGCTCTGGATATTGGTATTACAATCTCATAACAATTTTCAATGTATTGGGCTTCTCCATCACATATTCTGAAAAAGGCCAGTATGAAACTTTCATCATCCTGGATTTAATTTTGTCATCTTATGAATCCATAATTTCTTAAAAATGTCGCTAGGTAGGTCACAAATATAAGTTTCAACTTTCGTCTTTCAATGCACTTTCCATTTCCATAATATGTTGCTTACTGCATGATTCACTACAATATTCTTCATTAATATATAGGTACTATCAAAATTTGATAATATTTAATAACACCAATGTCTAGGAAATGATTATTGACGATTATTGATTATTCATAGTTAGAAATTCCCACGTACCTACCCCACTACCCGCACGTATATACCAAAACCATTAGTCAATATGTATCATCAATCCATGGATCCAAACCAAAGATCCAAAAATTGATCTAATCTAAACTTCGATGTTTATTATGTCATACATAGGAATCAATTCATAATTTTTGTCGGTTACTGAACCGAAAAGATACATATAATGATGAAGATGGAAAGCCCTAATTTCCAGTGACAATGGAAAATGAAAAAACTCCACCGCCCCGTGTGAGAGTCGAACTCACAACCTCTGGGTTACATGCCCAACGCTCTGCCAATTGAGCCAACGGGTCGTCCGTCGATCAATCGGCAGGGAGGTCGAGTTCTCATCACACACCAGGCGGCAGAATCCTTCCAATTCCCGAAGTCACTCGAAATCATGCACTATACGAAGCATCGCTGGCAGGATGGTACTATACAGTCTCCATATTTCCCCGTTCGTCCTCTGGCATTGTCTTTCCTTGTTTACGGAAATGTCCGAAGGCAATCATACATAGGAATCCAGTCATAATTTTTGTCGGTTACTGAACCTAAAAGATACATATAATGATGAATTATTTCCGTATACAAGGAAAGACAATGCCAGAGAACGAACGGGGAAATATGGAGACTGTATAGTTCCATCCTGCCAGCGATGCTTCGTATAGTGCATGTTTTCGAGTGACTTCGGGAATTGGAAGGATTCTGCCGCTTGGTGTGTGATGAGAACTCGACTTTCCTGCCGATTGATCGACGGATGTCCCGTTAGCTCAATTGGCAGAGCGTTGGGCATGTAAACCAGAGGTTGTGAGTTCGACTCTCACACGGGGCGGTGGAGTTTTTTCATTTTCCATTGTCACTCGAAATTAGGGCTTCCCATCTTCATCATTTTATTATGTCATCTTGATTGCATGTAGTTTTCACACGGTTGTCGTCACATGTCAATCCTCATTTTTTGTCGTTTTATTCGTTCCTACACAATTCTTACACCAGAGAATCACAAACAAACGCGACTAATGTATGTGTTAATGTTCTCTTTCATCTTCCTGTTAATATTTTACACTAGAGACAGACACTAGAGTATCGCGAACATCTCATTGCAGGCCCTTTAAAGAATGTGGACAGACTTGTCATTACTGACAAATCCGAATCGAAAATCGGCGTCCGTGGGAAAATCTGTTCGAATTTCGTTCGGTAATGAATTGCAAAGATTCTAAGAATGATGGTTAACTTTTAATTGAATTGCCCAAAGACTAGACGACATTTCAAGGTGTTCGTTGAAGCTTCATATTCCAAAATTCATTTCATGGAAATACATTCATTGACATAAATTGATATAACTACACGATTAGCATTATATACCTTTGGTGTTACGCCAAAATATGTCTGCACTCGTTCAATGAAGGGGTACAGAAAAATATTCCATCTCTTATAAATAGTTATTTATGTACTAAGGCAGGGCCTACTCTATCTCACCGGGCCGGAGCATCGCTTTCGTAACGTCACACTAGTATGGACAAAATCAACGCAGTGGAAATTGTCTCTCCCGTTTCATTGATGTACCTCGAGAAAACGGTTACAGTTAGCAAAAAATATCAAGAGGTCAAATATGTACAGAACAGAATTTTCCAGAAGATGAATCAACTTTCACTGATTTACGATCATTAGTTTCAGAAATATCGCATATCAAAATTAATTGACGCCATTCAGAATTGTCCTTTTTTAAACAGCTAAATTGACTGAGTTTTTTTTCAAATTCCCAAAGGCCAATAACAAACCGATATTTCAATTCAAGTAGAATGATGATTCAGGTATTCATTACAGAATAATTCAAAAAGTTAGGACGCCTCCCATGCTAATCCTATCAAGTGTGGATATATGCTGTCACTGACTTTTTTGTAGGAAATTTAATTGCCTACAAATCGGTATAATACACATCCACTTTATCTCGAAGGGTTTTAGCAGCGTTTATGTCTAAAGATGATCAGAACGCACTTTGATAACGTTAGAAATCACTCGAGTGTTTTATTACACAAAAACGCCTATTCGGTATTCATTATTTTCTGCTGGAGTGTATATATTTCAAGGATTACGTTAAATTCATGAAAAAAATTTGATATGGATATATTTCCAAACTATGAAAAGAAAAAAGAACAAAATATGTGGAGTTCATATGAACACAACCAAACAAAAATAATTAAAAAAATATGTATTTCAACAATGAAAGATATAAAAATAATATAACGAACTGAATAACAAAACACCCAGAACAACGATATATGAATGAACAAGGAAAAAAAAAACGTTGAATCCTAATACAAACAAAAACAAAATAAACTGTAAAAACGATCAACATAAGAAAATGAAAAAAAAAATAGATATCACAAAATGAAATGCACTAATAACAAAAAATATATATGTACATCTAAATCACAAACTAAAAATTGAAATCTTGACTATATCTCATCCTGAAAGTTTAGTGATTTTACTTTTTTTATTATAATGTACTTGATTCCACTATTTTTGATTTTGCAATAACTGTTCAACAGAATATTTGAAATGTTCTGATGATTCCATCAAAAGACCCACAACTGTAACATTGATTCTCGGAATAATTGAGAAGGGAATTGATTTTAATTTCTGCAACATTTTCCAAAACTTTATGATGTGACTTATATTGTAGAAATATTGTTTCGAATTTTTCAGACACCAATATTCGTACGTCTGAACCATACGCCATTCAGAAATATAATGAGAAATACAGGGAAATTTGGGTTGGTATTTTCACGCGTTCTTTATATTTAATTTCTTTCGGACTCATTGTAGGTAACTTTACAATTTTTTCACTATTCAATTGATGCATTATTCTAGTTTGATATACTGAGTTAGTTTTATCTTATTCCGATTATAAATTTGCAAAAAATAGTATTCTGTAGTACAACGTCCTGATTTTCAATGAAATGGAATTTCTTCACAAGGCCATAACTCGGTATTGATTCATCCTATTGGATTCAATTTTTCACCAAAAGTAGGGGAATTCGTTGGGGATCATTTCGTCTCGATTGAGTATGCTTCTAAAATTTATAGTAAATAAGCTATATAGCCTATCAATTACGAACGCACCAGTACGAACTGATGTGAAATTTCAACCTACTAGTGTGACGTCAGCGTCGAGAGAGAGGGGATAGACTACGGCCCGGTGAGATAGAGTAGGCCCTGACTAAGGACGAAAAACTGTCTATCATAGTGAAGTTTACAAATTGATAGCTGAGGCCTTATTCGAGGCTAGCAATCAGGCAAGACAATAGACAGTTTATCGCCGAGGTGAATATTGAATTTTTTCGTCAACCCCAAACACAATCTATCGTATTTTGTGAATAATTAATTTGCCAACAGCAAATTACAGTTGTAGTCAACTCACTCTCCGCGCCCATCTTGTTTTTGATATAGCGCCCTCAACGGTCGATCACCTTGCCAATAAGTGTGGACACGCTAGTTATGCTGTCAAACAACTGAACTAAAAACATAAGACACAAATATGGTTTATAAGAGATGGATTGTAATTTTTCTGTACCCCTTCTTTAAACGTGTGTAGACATATTATTATTTGAAACCCTGACAGTGGCGTGACAAGACATATTCGAAAACATTTTCGCGGGACGCCTATTCAATTTTCAGATGTGACATTTTTTATCTCGAAAATGTCAGTGGTGACAAGCATGTCCACACTCTTTAATGGGGGTGTATTGATATATTCATATTCGAGGCACTCTAGTGTTGGATATAATAATCAAGATTTCGTTTTATTATAGTAGGAGAGCCGGCTGCAGGTTTCTATCGTCATCTGATAACGAAATGATTTATTATTATGTCCCAAAGGAAAGTAAAAACATTGTAGCTCATCGAACGGCACCTGTGCCAATCACTATCTTGAGCAAAATGATCAAAAAATTGCACTTTCCTGTGCAAAAATTTGCACTCGATTTTGCGATATAATAACGAGATGAAAATTATGCCATCCGATGCCAATTAAATGTAAGATCTCAAAAATCTACCTGGGTCACCGCTCAGCCTGAGTCAATTCCACGGCACAGCGATTCATTTGCTCCTATTATTCCGAAAATACATCCGTCATGTGGTAACGAATTGAAACAAAAAGCAAATGAAAGTGAAAAATTTTCCTTTTGCGAATATCCAAACGTGCCGCGATTCAAACTGATCTAGGTTAGTGGCGTCAATATTTCCCTGAATATTTCGCCCTCGTCGAAAGATAATATCCGATGGACCAGTGTGAAATTCATGTGGTGCTCACACTACAAGTATTCTGATCCACATGTTGAGTTTAACACTGGTCCATCGGATATTATTTTCAGAGAGGGGCGAAATGTTCTCGGAAATATTGACGCTTAGGTCAGTTTGAATGGCGGCACGTTTGGATATTCGCAAAGGCGACATCATTTGCTTCTTGATTTGGCTCAGACTGAAAGGTGGCGCAGGTAGGTTCTTGAAATCTAAGATTTAATTGGTATCGGATGGCATAATTCTTATCTCGTTACCAAATCGCGAAATCGAGTGCAGATTTCCGCACAGGAAAGTGCAATTTTTCAATCATTATGCTCAGAATAGAGATTGGCACAGGTGTCGTTCGACTACAATGGTTTTACATGCCTTTGGAACATATATCATTTCGTTATAAGATGACGGTCGAAAGCAGCCGGCTCTTTTGGACTATTACAGAAAAAATGTGCTCTTGTTCAGTATTGACCAGATGTATCATTTTCGAATGAAATCGATTCAAAATAGTAGTTTTCCTAACAAGTGCGGAAAGTGATACTTTCCCGCACGCGAATGCCGTTGACCCGAAAGACGCGAAGCGGAGTTCGGGCAAGCAGTCGAGTGCGGGAAAGACACTTTCCGCATGAGTTAGGAACAGTATTTTTTCTACAAGCGTAGGAAATTGATTGATTTGATCAATCAATTATTCCTGCAAATAGGAACAATTAACAATAGTGATATATTCTCTATCTTCTAATAATTAGTGATATATCTATTGTGTGTACCGTTTGAAGCATTATATTGGTAAGCTTATTGCGGAAGCCAGCATGCTCATGGTGTTCGGCCTCTAGGTTTCAGACATTTCTAGGAAATGAGCCAAAAATACTTCTTCTTTCTTTGGTGTTTTCACTTCTTTACTATTGCACCATTCAATGAATCCCGTCTAGTGCTTCTCATACCTTTCGTAAGACTTCGTTGGCAATTACTCATCTGTATTGCATCTGTAGCTGGAAGTTTTCCATCGCAATTAACAGTGAATCGAAAATGACAGTAACGCTCTGTCTGTCACTCTGAGAATTACGCTTACTTATTTGTGTTTTGATTGACATGACAATTGATTGCCACATCAGATCAATTGAAGGCTATACGGAGATTAACGTAACAATCAATTATTATATTTTGTACACTCTTACTAAATACTGTAACAAAAAAAAACTAAAATTTTCATATTGTGTCACCCACCACTCATATTTTGCGAGAATATTATATATAAAATTTCCCACACTAGCATGGGAAAAATTTCCCGCACTAGTGTGATGGATGATTTTGTACAAACTTACTAAATACTGCAACAAAAAAATCTACAATTTTCATATTGTGTCACCCACCACTCATATTTGTCAAGAATATTATATAAATGTTTTTCCCGCACTTCCTAAACTAAATTGCGTGCGGGTATAGCGTGAATCACGCACGCTTGTAGAAAAATATTTTTACATTTCACAATCATATGATGCATAACGTTCCCAATTTTCAAATCATAGTGGCTTCAAAATTCAGCTGCTTTCTTATCACCAAACAATTTTCTAGTAGCGCGTATAATAATAATAATAGTAATAATGATAACATATCGAAGACTGGAACCTTTGGCACGATAATACACCACACACTGTTTTACCACTAACCAAATCGATTTTTAACACCTCGACACGTGTTCCGCTAACTATGTTAGCATCTTCAGGAGAATATTAAAACCAGTATTGATACGCGAGGATACCGTGGCGTCTTCTTCCCGCTTCCATCTCTATTTCACTGACACTCCATACGAAATACTAAGTCATCCGCCTTGATTTGTTTGCTTGCTGCCTTGCTGAATCCCAAGGAGGAGCACATTGACTGTGTTGTTGGTGGGCTTTTTTGTTCGTCGAACAGGTATGTTCGAACAAAAATGACCCAAAACCGAAGTGTGTGGTGTGTAGCTAGCGAAAACGCCACACACTTCGGTTTTGCGTCATTTTTGTTCGAACAGACTTGTTCGTCGAAGAAAACAACCTACCAATAACGCAGTGTATGGGCGCCTTTCACGCAAGTGTTCATTCCATCGCCAAGCAACAACCATGAAAAAAAAGTGTACTTTTTTCCATACTTTTCCGTACAATAATGAAACAGTATTTTGATATTGACATATTGTACACTTTAGGCACACAAAATATATTTAAAAAGTGCAGTTTTTTTTACAGTTGTAGAAAAAATATTGTATTGTATTGCAGAAGCGCAACATTTTGGCGCCCACCAAGAGGCATGCGCGCAAGAAGGCCAAGGTGAAGAAGTACACGAAGCCGGGGCATAAGGATGAAGATTGGAAAAAAACGGTAGCACGGTGAGAATCTTGTGTGTTGAGGATCCTTGAGTTGTTGAAATTCTTGGAAAAATTAAATGAATATTCAAAGTTTTTCAATGATATTTTTTGTATACCCGAACTATGATGTTTGCATCGTCGACCGTTCCAAGGATTTTCCAGATAGCAGAAAATATTCTGACAATGTTCACTACATTCCTTCTTCGAAATATTCTCAATATTCTCAATGGATTTGAATATTCTAATGAGAAAGTCTCAAAATGAATACCTATACTTTATTCTAGTAGGTCAAATTCTGTCAATTTCGGCAATTTAAAAGTGATTCAGATTCCACTAGAAGCTTAGGGTACTGCTTCTTCAACTTAACACAAGCTTCGACTTTCAAGTTGATTTTCAACTTTAAAATGGCAATTTATTTTGTTTCACTAGAAAATTTATATGTGATTCTTTAGTCATTGGCAACAAAACAAATGCCTGAATTGAATTTGAGAGTGCATATACAAGGTGTCCCACAAAAACGTACCCTAAATAATAACTTTATTTCCAGAATTCCTTGAATATTTAAAAATCCTTGGAAGGTACTGCTCTATAATTCGTAAGACAATTTACTATGGTAAATGTGCATAAAAAGCGTCACACCTCACACCATTTCAATAAATATACAGGGAGATAGGTATTTCACATTATATTTGATTAAAATCGATGTGTACCCTTTTGGAGTACGCCGCTGACTACAGTTCGATATTCCAATGGATGGCATAATAAATTATCAAAATTTTTTCCAAATGCAGTTTTTTCATAATTTTCCTTGGTTTTCCAGATATCTAACATTATTCAATTTGGTGCTTTCCCAAACTTTTTTATAATTTATCATGTTTTGCAAATTTCTACCTCATTTGTGTTGAGTTATTGGCCACAATAATCATAAACTATGAGAATCATCCATTCTCAAAGTGGCCCCACAGTATTCATAAATGGAAGGAGAGACTAAGTCGGTCGACCACACCTAATATCAAAAATTTTAAATTAGAAACAACAATAGAAGAGAAAAAATTTAATGCAACAATCTAAAAATGTATGTTATATAGGCGTAAATGAAAGAAAAAAAAAAGTGAGTTGATCCAAAAAAGTAACAATGTGACTAGTCTTGTAGATTCAGCAGTTCATATTTGACAAATTTCCTAAATGTTTCTGATGGTGTCGTCGTTAATTCTGGTTTGAAAGTATTGGAAAGTTTTACAGCATTATAGGTGAAACTGCGTTCAATAAAAAAGGTGACAAAAACATCATTGACAACTACCGACCTATATCAATTATACCGATACTTGGTAAAATATTTGAAATAATCAAAGACCGCTTAACATCTTTTTTCACTCGACAGAATACGCTACATGAGAGTCAATTCGGATTCAGACAAAACTGTTCTACTGTTCAAGCAATCCAAAAGCTGGTATCCGACATTATCAATGGATTTGAAGAGGGAAAACATACCATAGTCAATATGTGTGATTTGAGTAAGGCGTTCGACTGTGTATCTTACCCAATACTTTTAGCCAAGCTACAATTTTATGGTCTACGAGGAACAGCTCTGAAATTAATCGAATCATACTTATATGGAAGGAAACAATCGGTATATATGGATAAACATTGTTCTGAAATTAGCAACATCCAGTTTGGGGTCCCTCAGGGCTCTATCCTTGGGCCACTTCTATTTATCATCTATGTCAATGATATTTTTCATTACATGAGTCCAACTAAATGTATTTGTTATGCAGATGACTGTACTATCTATGTATCTGATGAAAGAATTGATGATTGCGACAATACTTCCAAAGTTTTCCAATCAAAAGCTGAAACATGGTTCATTTCTAACTGTCTGAAACTAAATAACAATAAAACCCAAAATATTGTATTCTCTACTGATTACGCTATTGCCAAAGGTTCTGAAGTTAGACTACTTGGTATTGTCATGGATGATAAATTGAAGTGGTCAGCTCATATTGAGCATTTGAGTAAAAAATTGAGCTCCAATATTTACCTATTAAGAAAGTTGAGTAGATTTGCTAACATAACAGTATTGAAAACTGCATATTTTGGACTATTTCATTCCCATATTAACTATGGTATAACTATCTGGGGAAACGCACCTGACTCCATGAGAATATTCAGACTCAAAAAAAGAGCCTTGAGAATAATTGCGAAAGCGAATTATAGAGATAGTTGTCGTCCAATATTCGTAAATTATGAAATACTTCCTTTACCGTGTATCTACATCCTCAATTGTTTGTTAGACATCCATAAAAATAAATATAATTATCAAAGGAATGAGGATTTTCATAATTACACTACAAGAAACTGTAAGTTGATTCGACCGATTAGACATCGCTTAAACACATCTGAACGTAACTCTATAGATATAAAATTGTATAATATTCTCCCTGCCAATATCAAAGATACACCTATTCATCTTTTCAAGAAAAAAATTGGTAAATTTCTGTTATCCCATTGCTTCTACTCGGTGGGGGTATACCTGGGGGCCGGAGTGGGATCATTTGAGTCTATATAGATTCATGAATTAACAAATCTAGAAAATAAAATAAATGAATAAATTACATGCAAATAGTGAAACAAAGAGAAATTATGCCTATGCCACGGGGAATCAGTCTTCACCCAGTTTAATTTTAATCTGTATTTTTTTTTGTATTGTATCATTCTAATTCAAATTTTTACCTATATGTATACTTTGCCTTGTCTTGACTTTCCACAAATGAATTTAATTTTGTAACGTGGATGAATAAATAAATAAATAAATAAACAAACAAACAGAGCAATCGAATGGTGTGGCATGTTGAGTAGCTGTGAATGTCTGGTGTTAAGATTATGTAAATTATTTCTGAAGACCAGTTTATCGAAAAGGTATGGTGGACTTTGAGTATTGAACAGTTTGTACAAAAAAATGAGGAAATGGCATTTAAATACATTAGAAACTCTAAGCCATTTCAACTGCAAGATATATTGGGAAATGTGATCATATTTCCTCAGATTGAAAACGAATCTACAACAAGTATTTTGCACGCCTTGAATTGGGTGGATTTATGAAGACATGGATAGTAGACAATGTCACAATAATTCAGAAGAGATAAAATAAGAGCAAAAAGTAAACGAGTGCGCATATAACATTTTCGTAATAAAAGATTCACATGATTCTTGAATCTGAAAGAAGTATCCATGGTCAATCCTAAATTTTTTGCAGTATCAGAGATAACTAAATGTGTGTTGTTTAGTATAATATTTTTATTATTTACGATATTAGGCCTCATATTTTTGTTTCCAAATAAAAGGACCATTGTTTTAGTAGGATTAATTGATAAGTTGTGCTTATTAGAAAAGTCAACAATCCGTTGAAGATCGCTGTTTATAGTTTCAGCTGCTGCATTATATGACGTAGAATCAAAGTAATGGATTATTTGAGTATCATCCGCATAAAGTTGAATTTCGCTAGTGTTTATAATTTTCGGCAAGTCTGATGTATACAACAAAAATAATAGAGGACCTAGGATAGATCCCTGAGGAACTCCAGACACAATTTTCCTTGAGTCGGAGTACTTATCATCAACACATACTCGTTGTGTGCGATTCCATAAATACGATTTAAAATAAGAGAGTACTGTAGTATTAAATCCAAAATATGTTAATTTAGAGATTGGTAACTTATGATCTATCAAATCGAATGCCTTAGAATAATCCAAGGTAATTAGAACAGCTACAAGTTTCGCTGTAGTCCTACTATGGCTCTCCAAGTTTGAATTTAAAACAGAGTGGGTTTTGATGATCCAAAATGCTACTTTCACAGATTTTTCGCAGACTATGAATTAATTTTTCGAAATACACTTCCATTATTTGTGTAATGATCTGTCAAACACCGCCACAATCAAATATATCTTGAATTTATTTAAAATGTGGCTGAATTCCCTCCCGAAGCCCGCGTAGTAAAGAAATATTATTTGTATCATTATGTAGAGTTTGTCTTCTTCAAGTTAAATGGAGATTTGAATTGTGGGAATAACGACAATAAAATATGCGGTATAAATTTAAAATAATTGTCCTTATTATCGCAATCCAAATCTGCCATTGTTTGTATTGTAGAAGTTGTTTTAAAGACAGACGTTGCTTTTGGCATGTTTGTTTGTTTCACATAGGTACATATTATTCAAATCATAAGTAACAAGATTACGGAATATTTCAAATTTGGACAATGCCTTGAATGTCATGTGGCAAGCAATATTCCAACACTCAAATCAAATGAAGGAACCATGCCTTATAATTAGCCCCGGGATAGTGATAAACATAAGGAAATTACACATAAATTGAAAACGCCGCAACCGATTTTGTTTTTTTTTCAGCGATGAGAAGGCGAGTGATGTCAAAATAAATCTGTGATGAAAAATACAGGGTGTTCCATTTGAAAAATTCTAATGAACGTCGTCTGAATCTTACAATATTCAAAATATAAATTTTAGCACCCTTTAAAAAGGATCATCTCGCGAAATTACTGGATTGCTGTGCGTGAGACCTTGCTACTACTGTATGCCAAAAATATTTTTAAAATTTGAATAAATGAATATACCATACCCAATTCAACATGACCCTTCAATAGTAGTGAAAATGGGTTTATCAATTATAACTTGGCAACGCAGCAACCAAATTGTTTTTTCTTCACAGCGATGTAGAGCTAAACATTAGTGGAATAAATTTCAAATAAAAAATACTGGGTGTTCTATTTAAAAAAACTCGTCTCCGATTCGTTCCCATTTTATAATACACCCAGTATTGTTGAGAATATTTTCGAAATGGGAACCTTCAATAACGGAAGAAATTTGTTCTCAAAAGTAGTGATGATGGATTTCGAGATATCGAAGAATTACGCACTAAATGGACACACTGTATACTGCTTTTTCGAGTATTTTGGAAAACACAGAAAGTACACTAATTGGTCTCAAATCATGAACACTATTGGATGATGTAGTTTTTGGAATTGGAATTATGATCGACTCACGCAATTTTTTTTTTGGAAAATAGTCACATTCCAAGCAACAGTTCAATACATGAGTGATATGGCTAAGGATAGTAGGCAAGCATAATTTCACCATGAAATGTGATACTCATTTCCAGCGGCATTCGATTTTATAATATTTATAATTTGTAGAACATTGTTTTGATCAAGAAGCGATAATACCTATTATTTAAGAAGAACTTACATGTCACGTCACAGTTATTCGAAATATGAAAAATATTCATAAAGTATTCATTTATTTCATTTTGGTATCGCAAGGTATCAGGTAGTTCACTATTATATTCCGAAGTTTTAATATTCATGTTGCTCAAACCTTTCCATAGTTTTTTATCATTTTTGCGGCATTCCTAATAATGATTCCAGTTTTCCGGTGTTTTGTTTACTTTATATTTGTCAAGTGCTTTATCGCGTTCTTTCAAAATTAATTAGAGGTTATCCGTAAGCCACGGAGCAGGTGGTTTTCTCACTCTAATTTCACTGACATCTGAAGCAATTGTACCACTATTAAGACATCATACGGCTCGGTGGTCGAGAGCGTGAAGGCGCTGAGTTCGTATGGGGACTCCCACCGAGACATAGGTTCGAATCCTAGTTAGGCCATGGATGTTTGTGTTTGTATGCTTTCCTAACCCCGCACAAGTTTCGACTTATGGGGAGTTTGGTCCCAGTGCTGGGACCAACGAGGTAATGCAATTGCAAAAAAAAATACATACAACCATTTTGGTATACTTGGAACCTCAAATTCTCAGGATATCACTATCTTATATTTATGTCGATCTTCATATTTCACATTCCAGTTTTCAAGAAAACAAGAGAGTAGTATATCGAAGACTGGAACCTTTGGCACGATAATACACTACACTGTTTTACTACTAACCAAATCGATTTTTTTAAACGCCTCGACACGTATTTCACTAACTATGTTAGCATCTTCAGAAAAAGATTGAAACTAAATATCCTATATTCTAGTGTGCTGCTTATATACTAGGTATTTGTTCACCCAACCATGAAAAATACTAACCGTCATATGGAATAGGTCCATTATCCTTATTCATTACTCTATTACTATTCTTAAATATCTCTAAGCTTTCATATGCGTCTAATTTTCTAATATTATTAACTTGTTAACTAATTTGAGGTAAGTAATATGTATGTTATGATTGTAATTGAACATATGTTCGGCTACACACGATTTATCTAACCTACCATATTTTAAATGTGCTATGTGTCTTTGAACCTTGTTTTTATGAGTCGCCTGGTTTGGTGTGAAGAGAGTAGTAAAATGTTCAGTTCACCCATGACATTATTGAAATCAGTTAATTCTCGAGAGCGATGAATGTTGAAATATCCAAACAAGTATGAATCGGTTGAGGCAACAACGCTGATTATCTCATAGAATAGTGAATTATCAATTTTTCTCAACAACCAATAGACGGTCGGTCCGTATAGTACTTCTGACGTCAGTATTGCTGACGATTTTCCATTCTGAACTAACAGGATAATTTTTCTGGAAGTTTATTTTGGGAAATCTAGTAAGAATAAAATTTTAAAATAATTCTCTGTGCCTTTTCTCATGAAGATGGAGGTTATGGTATTTGTTTCCAGAAATTAGTGTTCTTGTTGTGTTCAATTGTTTTTTATAATATCTACTTCATACCAGCAACAGTTATTACTTCATCATTTTCAAATCAAAATATTCCGATAAAGATACATATCTTCGAACAACAAACCCCCTAGACGGATAACATAACGAATATTCTGATGCTAACATGAATTCGCACAACAACCATAATATTAGTTCCCAATCGCAGCAAGTGTTGTCATGCCGTCTAAATTAAAAGTGATGAATGTCCCGATATCTCCATTTTTTATATCAGTTTATAAATCTAGTTCAACACATGCATTTATTTGTTAGTCGGATTAGATATAACAATTCTGAAGATGCTGCCAGTAGTTTCGGAATAATCGGGAAAAATGTGTACACAATTTTTTTTTTCAACTGTATCTTGAATTGAAATATCGTTACGAATTTTTTTACTGAGAAAACTCAGCTTATTTTGCAGCATTCTACCTGTCCTAACAGCGGAGACACCTTTTCCTGAAACACTCTGCTGTAAAGTTGTTTGAATTAAAAACGATAAGTACATGTTAAAAATAAAATTTATTTAATAAAAATAAAGAATCATTGGCCACTCAGGTATTTGTAGCCATTTTCAACTGGCACAATATCAGACTAGATTTACATAGATATCCCAAAATCAATAAAGATTCATAATATTAGTGAGTAAGCATTTCAAAACAGGTTTATTGTTATTCCGTTATTGCTGTACAATCATTATTTATAGGCAAAATATAGGACTGTAACTTATGCAAAAAAAGATTACAAGCACTGGGAATGCTTTCCATCGAAAGTGATTTGATAAACTGTTTGAATCATGAAAGAATTCGCAGATTTAACAACCAGAAAATAAAGAGTGATATCGTAATATACT